TATAATATGACACATGGTCTCCACTAAAATTTGGGGATGGCACTGTGGCATAGTAGACTAAACTTCTGCCTGCAGCACCAGCATCCCATATGGGCACCAGTTTGATCCCTTGCTACCCCACTTCACATTCAGCTCCCTGTTTGTGGCCCAGCAGAGCAGTGGAGGACTGCTTAAGTCCTTGGACCCTGCGCACACCTGGGAGACTCAGAAGAAGCTCCTGTGTCCTGGTTTCAGATCAGCTGGGCTTTGGTGATGTGGCTATTTAGGGAGAGAACCAGTAGGTGGAAGACCTTTCTCTCCCTTTCTCTCACTCACTCTCCTTCTCTCTGTAAATCTGCTTTACAAATAAGCCTTTTAATCTTAAACCTTATTTTATGTAAGAGAACAGAGAGACGGAAAGAGAAAGAAAAGGATATCTTCCAGTGCAGATTCCCTCCTCAAATCCCTGTACTTGTAAGGGAAGCCAGGGGCCTGGAACTCAGTGCGAGCCTCCCAGATGGGTGGGAGGACCACCACCTGCTCCTTCCCAGGGTGAACACTAACAAGAAGCTAGATTGTAGTGGAGGAATAGCACTTGAACCAGGCATTCAAATACGTGATGTGGGCATCCCACATCCAAATACTCACGCCTATTACATCATTCCTAATACTTCCATGTTTAAAAACTTTCTGTATTTTATTGTGATTTGTATTCAGGAAGTTTGATGTTTACTATAGTTCAGCTCAAAATAGTGAGTTGAAATTAACTCAGAAATCTGTTGACTGTTGATTAAGAAAAAGTGGCCTATATACCTGAGGGAATACTACTTAGCCATAAAAAGAATGAAATCTTGTCTTTTGCATTAAAAGGAATACAATGGGAAACCACCATGCTTAATGAAATAAGCCAGTAACATCATTTGTTTTCTTTGATATACAGAATGTAGAATACACAAATAATGTGTAGGAACCCAAAGACATTAGACATTATTTTTAGTCCTTGTTTATGCTCCAATGGAACTGCAGCCTCCCTATATTTTTAATTACAGAATATTATCATTAGTGATGCACTAATCCTATACTGCGGGCTAAAATTACGTTTTTTGCAAAAAAGAAAAAACAGGGAGGAGGGGGACAAAGGGAAGGAAAACAGGAGGAAGGAGAGCATGATTATCTTGTACCTATGAAATCTCTTTATATTAATAAAAAGCTTAAAATATTCTTAAAAAATATCCTAGAAACAATGTTGTGGCCTAATGGGTTTATGCTGCTGCTTGCAATGCCAGAATTCTATAATGGACACTGGTTCAAGTCTTAGCTGCTCCCCTTGCAGTCCAGTTCTCAGTTAACGTGCCTGGCAAAGCAGCAGAGTATGGCTAAAGATCTTGAGCCAGTACTTACAACGAAGACCTAGCAGAACCTTCTGCCTCCTGGTTTCATACTGGCCCTGCTCTGGCTGTTGTGGCCATTTGGGGAGTGAATGAATGAAGGTAGGACCTCCCTCTCTGACTTTCTTTCTCTTCTCCCTCGTCTCCCCACCAACTCTGACTTTCAAACCAATAAATAAACTTTTTAAATACAGGAGCATCATTTTCTTATTGCTTAGCAATTAGTAGTTTATATGTTGACCTTTGGGAGTCCGTGAGAAAAGTGAATACGATAAGACAGAAACACTTTCCTTTGTCTTTTAGGCACCTGTTTGTTCTCAATTTGATTTTCAATGTTTTGTAGAAAAGCCCTGGGACAAGGAACCAGGGCTTGCTTGTGTTTGTATCCCAAGCACCCAACCTCAAACCTGGCACATAATTGCTGCTCAATCAGCAGTACTGCATACATGAACACATTAGATATATACGTATTTACAGTAAAATCAAACCAGGAAAAACCAAAACTATTGCAAAGATGTTTAACAGAAAACACTCTAAGTAGTCTGAACAGGAACTGTTTGTGGTACCATGTTATCTTTTTTTTTTTTTAAGATTTATTTATTTTTATTGGAAAGGTGGATATACAGAGAGGAGGAGAGACAGAAAGGAAGATCTTCCATCTGACTGTTCTTTCCCCAAACGGCCACAATGGCTGGAGCTGAGCCAATCCAAAGCCAGGAGCCTGGAGCTCTTCTGAATTTCCCATGCAGGTGCAGGGTCCCAAGGCTTTGCTTTCCCAGGCCACAATCAGGGAGCTGGACGGGAAGTGGGGCCGCTGGGGCACAATCCAGCGCCCATATGGCATGCCAGGCGTGCAAGGTGAGGACTTTAACCACTACGCTAATGCACCAGGCCTGGTACCATGTTATCTTAACACCTGCCTGGATCGCCTCCATCAGCAGCCCTTAAGAGAATGAGAAGGGGCCACACTTGGCTCTGTTCATGTGTACAGCTTTCAACGCCCTTAACAAACCCACAAGGGCTGGGGGTAGGAAAGGAAGGTGAGTGTGCTGGAGTGGGGTAGCTTAGTGCTGGCTTGGTGACAAAACAAAACACAAAGCCCCTTCTTCTGAGCTGTCTGGAATACAGGCAACTGGCTCTATTCTCCCTGAGCAATTGCACTGACTGCCACACAGTTGCCACACAGACTTCCAGAACTGTCTGCCTGAAAAGGTAAAATGTTATCCAGAACTGCTTGCCTGAAAGGGTAAAATGTTATCTTCTCATCATTTCCCTTCCTCCCACCACCTCTTCCAGCACCACTGGGCATTTTAAGCAAAGTGGGCCCCGAAAATGCCATTCTTAGTGTGGGAAGAACACGCTATCTAAATGTGCCCAGAAAGCAAACAGGCAAAGAGCTCAGCGTTTCACTGGAGAAGGAACCAGCTCTAATTCGGGAGGAGGATCTGCCCTGACACATTTCCTTTCCAGCACCATGCTCAGCCAGGCATACGCAAACTTGGGAGGAGGATTTTTTTTTTCCTTCTTGTTCTGAAAACAATTCCACTGGAAAGCTCCTGCATCCAGGTAAACCTACCTTCGTGTTCATCAGTCACTCACTCACTCACTGCACACAGGTTTTCTCTAGCTGCTCCCGACTAATACTGCTTGCAGGACATGAGGATTCCAGAGGAATAAGAACAACTTTGTGGGTTTCATCGCCTGCACAGTCTTGAACCTCTACCTCTCCCAACTGCCTACACAGCCTTTATTTTGCTACAACCACCTAAGTCAACTCTCCTTAGTACTACAGCTGTGCCAGTCAGGAGTGCTGCAGAAGCAGAGAAAACTTGGAGCAGTGATTTCTTGGGTAGAAGAAACCTAGGATGCGAGCATGCTGAACTATCAACCCAGCTACCCCAGACAGAACCTGTCACTAACAATTGAACATACCTCACTTTAATTACATATACTCCAATGGGGCATGACTCATTCCTGTAACTCGCTTTGCTTTCGCAAAAAGGAGAAAGAAAAACCCAGAGTCTTTTTCTCTCAATATTGTCATCCCAAACCATTGCAGCAACATAAAGATGTGGTTTGAAGAATTCATGTCAAAGAATGCCTTGTATCCCCATCAGCAAAGAGGCGCACTCTCTGGGAGGCCAGCCAGGAAGTGGGAACGGCCTCCTGCGAGCTTAGATTCGCTAATATGGGATTCCACCTGCAGTTGCGCGGTTTATATTACTAATGTCCTCAGCATGCCCGCCCCGCCCCCCCCCCCCCGAGTTTTTCTAACAAAGGACAGGAAAAGCAGATTTTAAAATTGACCTTCAACTTCCCTGGCATTAAAGTGCATTTTTGGAGGTGCTTTACAACTTTTCTTTCCTAACGTTAACAATAGTTTGTGCAAACTAAGCTTTAAAGCTTAGTTTCCGTATTGTTCCCTGGGAACCCCATCTGAAAACACTCTGGGAATGTACAAGCGTTTTAATACACCGTGGAAATAGGAAACATTACCCAACAGAGTAATGGATGCAGAGGGCAGCAATGAAGCTACCCGGCGGCTAGCGACACAATTAAGCTGCGCTTGGGGTCTGTGGCTTCGCTTTCCAGCCCCCAGCGCCAAGACAACGGTGGGAAAGAGGCCAGATGGGCAAGACTGCGATTCTCGGTGAACCGCGCGTTCCTGCAGCTCGGCGCACCTGCCGCCCTCCTCCTCGAGCGGCCACCCTCCCCACCCGACGCCCCGGCCCGGGCGCTGGGGGCGCACCTGGCCCACCTGCCGGGCGCGCGGGAGCCAGCCGGGCGCGCGCTCACCTCTGCTTTCTAAAGTCGGCCTCCCTGGGGATGTTGGATTTGACGGGGTGTGCTCTTTTAAGTACTATATTGAGAAAAAAACAAACAACCCTGTATACATATTTCCTCTCGCGACCCTTTCGGGCCCGCTCCCAAGCTGGAGAGCAGGCCCCAGGCGGCGTCCCCTCCCCCGGCGGCAGCGGCAGTCGCGGGAGCCGCCCCCTCCCGGGCGCCCACACGGTTCCTCCCAGCTGCCGTGTGAATGGGCCGCCCTCCGGCTTCCACAGAGGGGGCGGTGGGAGGAGGCCGAGCCCCAGCCCCGGCCCCGCGGCCGCCGCCCCCGCCCCGCGGCGGCCCACGCCGGGATCTGCGTCACTCGGCCGCGCGTGGGCGGCAGCCGGAGCGGCGAATGTAGCAAGAGCGGAATCTCCCAATGTGACAGCGAGCGCGGGGAGGGGGGTGGAGGCGGCGGAGGCGGGCGGGGGAGGGGAGGGAGGGCCGCGCAGGGGGAAGGGAGGGCGCGGCGGGGGAGGAGGCGCCGCCGCCGCCGCCGCCGCCCGCGCGTCCGAGCCCGGAGGAGCCGCCGAGCCGCCTCGGCCCAGCGAGCGCCGTCGGGGCGGGCGGGCGGCCGGGCGAGCGGACCCGAACCGGCGCGCGCGGCTGAGGGGGGGGTGGGGAGAGCTGGGAGAGCGCGCCCACCACCTTCCCTTCCCCCACCCCTCGATGGGCGCGGGGGCGTCCCGGCCGCCGCAGCCGCCTGAGGAGGGAGAGCTGGGGGCCGTCACTTCGGAGTTGGGGCTGAGCCGTCCTCGGGGGAGAGTACGCCAAGACCGCTGCAGCCGCTGGCCGAGTACGTACCCAGGCGGACGTTCGCCAACTCCGGGCCGGCCGGGTGCGGGACGTGGTAGCGCTCGGGCGGCCGCCGGGGCAACTTGAGGCGGCCGAGCGGCCGTGCGTCCTGGGGCGCGGGCCCCATGCGGCAGCCGCCGGCGGCGGAAGGAGAGAGGGCGGCCGGGCCGGGTGTGGGCGATTCCCGGAGAAATGGGGTGCGCAGCGGCCGCAGGAAGTTGGAGGGCGAGCGGTGGGGGTGTGGAGCGCGGCGGGAGCACCCCGACTTGGGTGCTTTTCGCCCCCTCGGGAGAACGCCGGCCATTCGCCTCACGGGGCCGGGGTCGTCGCGCGGCGGCGCCCCCGAGGTGTGAGGCGGGGTGCGCTGCTGTCCCCTTCTCGGGGGGAGGAGGGGACAGTCTTTTGTGTGTTGACTTTATAAAAAGTGGTGCACCCACGGTATTCCTGTTCTTTCCTGGGTCTCTTTCCCAGGCGACTGTAGTTTTTTCATTTTTGAAAAGGCGGAAGGAGAGTTTTGCTTGGAAGTGGCTTTCAGAAACTTGGCATCGAGATGCAGGGAAAGCGGCGGAGCGTGGTACCTTTGAGGCCCCAGTGAGGAATTTGCGGACCCGCGTGGGTCCTGCGAGCCCTGGATGCAGACGTGCGTGACCTTAGGAGGGAGAACCATTGCGAGTGCCCTCCGAGATTCGTGGGCTGCAGTCTTGGGGCAGGCTGAGATCAGGAAACGACACACTTCTTCAGCCCAAATATTGTAGGATCTTAGAGAGGATGACAGAGTTGTGTCGGTTCTACAGACCCAAGTTTTGTAGTAGGTGATCGGAAACGAAACCTAGCCCTGCCTATGCTTGATCCTTACTCCCCGAGATTCTGCAGGCATGGAAAATTGAGGGGTGACTGTTAATTTAAAATATCACCCGTTGAGAGTCGATTGGGAATAGCATGTCACCCACCAGCAGTGAATTTGCCAGTGACGTGTCTCCCAACTTGGAGAGTGCAAAGATCAGAAGCTGAGTGCGAAATTCCCTAAATCTTATTTAGAAATATTTTGGCACTTTTAGTAGATAATATTATAATGGCACGGGAACAGAGGAACCGAATTTAAAGTAGGTTAGTCACGTTGGAAATGCTTTGCTGTTTTGCTAGAAAAGTGCATGCAGTGAAATCACCTTAGAATTTCCAGTTTGGGGATATTTTTTTTACCCCCTGAACAACATACCTGGTTGTGACATTTCATAATCATGTATAGGTGTTAGGAGGAGATATTGGAAGAGTGGCGGGTGTTGGGGTTAGAAGCAAATACACTCCTGAAGACTTCAAAGAGCTGTTTCTGATGTAATGTGTCAGTGGAAGTGGTTCTTAGATGCAGAGCGCTCTTCTTTCCCTCAATAGTTGTAGCACACAATGTTTAATCCTAGTCTTTTGCTTAAGTTTAAAGGATTTGTTGTTCTGGTAGGTACTAACATGCAAGATTTCCTTGAGACTTTACAGATGGCTGTCAAGGTCAATCTTTATCCCATTTTGATTGTTAGATGTGGGACTATTAAGTCTTTAAAAACATCTTTCTAAGGAACCTTTGGAAGGTGTTTCTGGTTTTTTTTGTTTTTTTGTTTTGTTTTGTTTTTATGTTTGTTTTTACCTTTTTTTTTTTCCACCAAAGCTAATATGTCCTCTGGTGCTGGAGATATTTGGGTTTGCTTGCTCCATTGGGCTCCAGTTTTATGTGACTGCACTAGTGACAACAGCAATAACATTATTGCAGGCACTGTAGATTTTGTCTTTATCCTACTTGTTAATTGTGGATATAATTCACATGACAAACGTTTTTAGAAATACTGATACAAAGAAATGTAGTGAAGTTCTATGACTGATAAGTCATTTGTGTAGTTAATACTTTACATCTCTTAAATTATCAGTAGAGTCCAACATTCTTGGCTAAAATAATTAAAAAATTTTCCCTTTCTTGTGATTAGTAAATAATGTGCACTGTTGTGTAGGGAAATTAATAGATTTTCAATTTTCTTGCTATTTAAAGCATTTGGCATTTTCCTTTAATCATACTCTAAGAACATGCTGGTTTATATAATATTAAATTTGCACTGCAGATACTTTGCAAGAATAAACTATAAAGTGGGGGGATATCTTTGCAATTTGTTGAGTAAACTTGCAGGATGATTGGATGGATGGCAGGATGTGGGGCCACATTGGTTCTGCTGTGTTGAGTGTGCAGTTGTTTCTGTTATTCATGTGTAGCTGTGTTCTAGATACCATGGAATCATGACACATTTGTGTTTCTTTCATGGAAGTGACCATACTGTGACATTCTTGAACACTTTAAAAACATACTGGCATATGGTCAACTTATTTATGCAAATTTTGTTGTCAAATTTAATATGTTACAGAATACATAATGCACATTAAACATAATATGAAGATTTTATTTCCTTTGCTTTGGATTTATTATTATCTAACCTACCACTTTCATTCTTTTGAGTGGTGGAAGGAAAAATAGTACAGTTATTATAGCAAATGCAAATTTTCTTTCTGATCTGATATATTCGGTAACTCATATAATACTAGATTATACTTCCTTAAACTCGGTCGTGGAAAAGTAGGAAATCGGAGTTGATATTGAGGATGATTTGTAATCCTCATCTTGAGAGAAATCTTACGGTTAAAACATACCATTCAGCTTTCAAATGGTTTTGTTATTTCCTAATATATTATGTTTAGAGGTCTGCTATTAATTTGCATGGTATTGTTAATTGAATAATTTTTACGAACTTCTGAAAGATGACACAGTCTGTATTTTTGCCTGCGTCTCCACTCAGAGGACATGAGTGCGTTAAGTGACTTTAGTGTGTTGGTTGATTGAAGAATTTGCCACCAGCAGGTATGGGGTACTAGTATTTGCCTAGTGATATTGTAGTTAAGTTAATGCATAGTTATCATTTAATAGCAAAATAGATTAAAATTTTTGCTCACTTGGATGAATTGAAAAATTTCATGAAAGTTTTAACCAGTTTAACCATTTTTTTATATTGATTTAGAAAACAATCTGTTAGGGAGGAGATTTAAAATTTCCCAAATTGCCACTAATTTGTTAGCAGGTACATGTTTAACTCCTAGTGAGGGTAGTAATAAGATCCAGAAGTGCCTTAACATCTATTGTTGGGTGCTAACTGCTAGTGAACCTAGTAAATCTTTTGGCAATTAAACCAGTTTAGCCTTGCGTTAAGTGATCTAGGTGATGTAATGGAACCTCATAGAATCATTTGTGCTTCAGTTTTATGTTCTAGAAGTAGGATAAAGGTTTAAAAAAAAAGTTCGTTTTCTAGCATCTCATCCTTTCCTAAGCTCAATATGACCATTAAAGGGCTTTCCATTTCACTCTTGGTTGCACCCATTGGCCGGTGCTCTTAGGCCCTGTACCTGCAAGCCAGAGTCTCCTGAATGTAGCAGTCCTTCAGAGGCAGAAGTTACGCTGTTTGTATTCATATTTCCTATTTTCTTTTTCCTCATTTCCAACTCAATCTTTCATTTGCTTAGTGTACAGCGGACCTCATCCAAATGTTATGAGGAAAACATTCTGGTGGAACTAATTCACCTTAATCTGCAAATGACTCATGAGCTTGTAGCCAAAGTTTTTCATGTTTTTTTGGTCTCTAAGAAGTTGCTATTAAGTTAGATAATTTTAATGTAAAAAATTAAGCTGTATTGGGAGGAAATTTACAGTTCTCTACATAATTAGGCCTCACTTGAATGTTGCCCTTGGTTTTCTCTCCACTCCTGGAAGGGTTTCTCTTGCTTGGAATGTCACAGGCTGTGGAAGTGTGTGTGTGTGTGTGTGTGTGTGTGATTCCTACACAAGATTCACAGTAGTGATTACAAATTGTTTAGATTCATTATGCTGCATTTAATTTAGAGAAACATTTTAAATAGTCCTAGAATTTCTCATGACTGATTTGAATTCTTAAAATGCTGGTTTTGCCTGGGCTCTCACATAATGTGAATGTTATCACTAACTCTAGGCAATTTCTCTAATTGGGAGATAGTCACCTGTGGTCTCTTGGGAAAATACCATGCTATGGAAGTCCACCAGGGAGCCTTCTGAGAACGTGTTGAGTATGACATGGTGGGATACCGGAATATGCTGTTACTAAATTGCCAGTTTACTGGGACACTTTAGCTCACTCAGAATGCATGCCTTTCGGAATGGGAAGGAAGGTAGCGGATCAGATGTTAACTCAAACATTGGGTTTAATTCACCAGTAACCTTTGTAAGGATGTAGTTCTTTATAAAACACTTTTTGAAGAAAAAAGGGAAATAAAATTAATGCAACCTTAATGCCCATTCTCAGGTGCTTATGGCCTCAGAGTAACCTGTTCCACAGTTCTGTGTATAACACAGTACGTAGCATTTAAAATTTTCTTCTTAAAGATTTTTGTTTTTGAAAGTTAGAGATCGATCTCCCATTTGCTGGCTCACTCCCACAATGACCACAGTGGCAATCAGAAGTGGTGCAGCTGGGTCTTGGGCTAGTGAAGTGCACACATGGAATACTGCCATTGCACGTGGAGGCCTAACTTGCTATGCCACAACACCAGCCCTCCTATTAGGTAGCATTTACCGAGTGTTTGAGGTTGCTATTAGAGGTTTCTTCCCTCTTAACGGGAATAGTCCGTGCTTCTTCATGGAGGACCATCTTCCCTTTGTACCTCCAGGACTGCTATTGTCTGATAAGAAAGAAAAAAGAATGAGGAAAGATTAAAAAATAATAACAATGAGACTTTATCCTAATGTGATGCTATAAGAGCAGCATGAGTCAACTTGTTACTTATGTGAGTAAAATATGCCAACTCTCACGCCTGGACTCACATAGGGCAATGCAGTGAAACTATGTAGAAGACAAAAAGCTCATGTTTTAGGGAAAGTTACACACAATTTAACCTGGTATCTAGATAACATCACAGAAGGGAGGACACCTGCTGTTGGGGAAATACTATGAGGAGGTCTGGGCGCTGGGGAGAGTGACGGTACCTGGGACAAAGCAGGAAGGTGGGATACCAGTGGTGTCTGCCTAGCGTGAATGTAGAGGTATGTTCAGGATCAGAGGAAAGGCAGGCTGTAGGTTGTCTAAATAAGAAACGTGGATTTCTTACACTGAGTAGTGGAGAATTTGCAGGTGAGTAAAGAGCCATACCCCTGCCTGTTCTTTAGGGAGATAAAATTAGCAGTCCAATATGGGATGTATTAAGTCAGGATGTTGTTTGTAAAGGTCGGGCAAGAAGCAGGGAAAACTAGAAGTAAGTACTTAATGGCAGAGAAAGGAAAAAGGTGGTATGAAGATTTGAGGAAGAACCAAGCAGCAAAGATGAAATCCACATCGTTTCATGTTGGAAACCAGAAGACAAGTGGTACAACTGAAAGAATTAGAGAATTGGGAATAGTGTATTTGGGAATCTGGAAGACCAGGAAATTGAGATAGTGTTGGTTTAGCACAGATTTTTATTATCTCCAGTCGAAATTACAAATTCTGGTTTACAAGGATTTGGGCTAATCATTCTCAGACTTTCCATGTGTGAGAATCGCTTTTTAAATTAAAAAAAATATGCAAATACTCATTATTTTACTTGGAGTGTTTTTTATGGAGATTGCATGCAATGACAAGGACAAATTCTGCTATACTTTTAAACGAGTTTGTTTTATTAAACTGTGAACACTTATAAATCTTAATTTGGAAATAAAACTTACATGAAAAGCATCTTTTTCCTTCATTTGTGAATGCTTGCATTTTTAAGTTTATGTATTTTTAAGTAAAAAGCAGACTGACAGAGATCTGACATTCAGTGGTTCATTTTCCAGATAGTTGCAACAGTTGGGATTGGGCTAGGAGCCCAGAACTCTTCTGGGTCTTTCATGTGGAGATCAGAGACCTGAGCCATCACCTGCTACTTCTAGGATGTGCGTTAGCAGGGAACTGAATCAGAATCAGAGCTGGGACCAGAACTCGGCCACTCACCCCAAGGTGGGTGCTACAACCAGGCTCTGGTTTCTTACTAACCGCTGAGCTAAGTGCCTACCTCTGTGTGTTTACATTTGCGAACCCTGCAGTAGCTCCATAATTCATGGCCCAGAAACCACTGATTGAAAGTGAATTGGAAATAGTCATCATTTTATAAAGATAACTGGATGCAGAGTAGATGAGATCATCAAATAAGAATCTGTACTGACAAAAAAAGAATCTAATGTTAAAAAAAAAATTCTCATTTTCAGATACACTTCATTAGAAAGGCAGAGTAACAGAGAGGTTGCACATCTTCCATCTGATGTTTCATTCCTTTCATGTTTACAACAGTTGGAACTATAGCAAGAGCCAAGAAGATGGGCCTCCATCCTCATCTTCCATATGGGTGGCAGGAACCACAAAACTTGAGCCATCATCTTTTGCTTCCCAAGTGTGTTAGCAGAAGTACTAGATCAGAAGCAGAATAGCCAGGATGACCTAGTGATGTAATAGGGGATGCTGGCATCCAAAGCAGTGGCCTAGGGCTCTGCATCACAGTGCTCACCCAGCTTTGGTAAATTCTTGAACTTGGAATATAGCAAGAAAAAGTAGGGAAAAATGAAATGGTGACAGCGTTTACAAAAATGAGCCGAAGAGCATTTTAAGGAATGATGGAACACAGCAGAGAGGTTAATGAGAGATGGGCAGACCATGACAATAATCCAGCAGTCACCTAAGAGTGAGGGAGCAGATTGCAGGCTAGGCTGAGGCCCGTTTTTAGGATTAGCTTTCCCGTGTGCCCTTATAGGCCCCACCTGTGTTCTCCCTTTCTGGCGTGGAAAGTGTCAGGTTTTCCATAGTGAGGCAGGGGTTGGACAGGCTGCCTTCTGAGTTCATTTAGCACAGTTTGAATCAAGACTAGTGCCACCCCAAGGAATGAGAATGTGATTTAAAAAAAAAAAATAGGTGAGTGAATGAAAGCAAGTAGTTTTTAGACTGTTGTCTAATTCCTCTTCCCTAATCCTGGGTTTCTTTTGATGGTACCGACTGGAATGAGGAATGTTTAAACTGGCTTAAGTGGAGTTTGTATGTGCACTGGCAGCCCGATATCAGGCTTAGCTTCTACATACGGTCAGAGTGAGCAGCTGGTTTCTCTTAACTGTGGAATTTATAAAAAGGTCAGGCTCAGCATGATTGTCTCGGGATGTCTTGAAAGGCTAGGTAACAATACACAGTTGAGTAGATTCACCACACTGTGGACTGCTTGTGTTTAGTGTTGTGTTCGAACCCTTTTAAATTTTTTTTTTAAGATTGGAGAGGTACAGGTAGAAAGCTAGCTTTCCACTTATTTGGCTTTCAGGTTGAAGCATGAATGATTACAGATTTTGTGAAAATAGAAATTCTCATAAAAGTTGCCTTTTAAATCAAGCTAATAGATGACATGGTGGTTGTTAAATTTAACACAGTACACTTGGAAAGAAGCTGAAGCACCATCCTAAAACAAAAGCTTGGAAAACCTGTGTCCTAGTAGTGCATGGGAACTTTCAGGAGCATGCTGGGACTCGGAATAGGTCTGGTCTGTCTTTACTTGTTTGTCTTCCATTTATTATCTTGACTTTGGAAATGTGCACTTGGTCCTGTTGGTCCCTATGGGAATAAAATATGCATATCTACCTTATCAGCATCGGAGGAATTAGAGTATTTCCTTTTTTAAGGGTAAAGATGAAAAGACATAATACTCGAAAATCATTGCTTTAGCACAGAAAGGGAGAAAGGCTGGGTCTCTTAGTTTTATTCTTCTTAAATATATCCTGTGATATTTGATTATTGGATTTTTTTTCACTGATTGCTCATAACAAGATTTAAAAGCTTTGCTCTAGATGTTCTGAGGTACTCTTTTGTCTGTTCCACAGCTTTAGGAGTATTTGGTTTAAATAAAACACTCCATAAACTCTGCAGAGTCCTCTTATGAAAAATCATGTGTGGATACACGTGTTTATGTCTGTGGATAAGTAATTTCAAAATACTCTTGAATATGAAGAATGAACAATAGTTGCATTAGGAAGATGATGGGAAGCTGTTGTTTTTTTTTTTTCCCTCCAATCATATAACTTCCTAGAAGCCATTCTGTTTGGAATATTAGTTTAAATAGATCTACATTTAAGTCTGTAACTCCCAAGAGTTGTGTTTTCTGCGTTGGTGTTCGTCTGGATGTTGGGCTTTCCCTAGAGTTGGACTATGTTTTTATCCAGAGAACTGAGGCAGCCTGAGCATGAAGGTGAACCTAGGAACCTGGCTGATTCGTGCTGCTTGCAGGGTATGCCAAATAGAGATTTTTCTCGGCCAAGTTATGGGCAGACCCCTGGATGTAGTTCAGGGTCCTGGGAGACCTTTTTTTTTTTTTTTCCCAAAAGCACTTAACATAGTGTCTTGGGAATTAACAGAAGTTGCTGGGTCCAAATTCAGTTTCTTTGGAGTCTTGGAAAGTAGGTCATCAGGTCACCTGGCTATCAGACTAGCCCTTGCAAACAAAGAGCTATAAACTGGGAGGAAGTCACTAGTTGAATATAGTAATTATGGAAGATACAGAAATTCCAGTCACAGTCCAGAGAATACACATCCTCCTGGCTGGTATAACTGAAACTAAAATTTTGTGTGATGTTCTGGCTGTTGCCATTTGAAAACAAAGTTCAGTGACTCCCTGGCTTTCCGGGATATCGCCACTATTGCACTCTTTGCGGCATCTCCCACTTATCTGTTGCTCCATGCTGTTTGTGTTGAGAGCACTTTGCTCCAGTGTGTGCATTTTTGAGCCTTCTATATTTTTTCCCTTAAGGGCTACTGGGTCCTTTTAATTCCAAGGGTGCTTTGATTACAGCAAGTTTGTGTGTCTTATATGGAAGTACTCAGCCAACTCCTCTTTGTATGTGGGAGGTCTCCAAGCATCTAAACAACTTTCAAAGGCTGCAAAGAGGACAAAACATACTTTGGTAGCTTTTGTCCTATCTTTTTAACAACAGGCTTCTCTGTGTTGGTTGGGCTGAGAGTGTGTCTTTTTCTTGACCTTGACCTCCACTGCCACTGTGGCGGCCTCACCTAATTTTATTCTGCATCTCTGGCCTTGACACATGTGTAGACACTGGTGCTTGTGTTGCATTCATGTACCTTCCTGTTTTACCCTGCACCATGTTCAAGTGCCATGCATGTCAGAGGGGATCTCATCATCCAGATTTTTCTGTATCCCAAAGGCCCATCACAGTTTTAGACTTGGATACATAATCCTGTCATCACTGGTAACTCCTCTTCCTGAAACTGTAGCTGTTTCCTCTTACTTACCATTTACACCTAAGTAATGGCCAAATCCTGTCATTTATTTGTTTTAATTTTTACTGTCTTTTTTCCTGGTTCCTAAACATGACATCTTCTGTTTTCTCACCCCCAATTCTTGCTTGAAATCTTAACTTCCTTCACCTGCCAGACTAATTATGGTAACTTTTCTTTATAAAATGGGAGTAACTGGACCCAGTGTGTTAGTGCAATATTAAGGTCCTTGCCTTGAACACACCAGGATCCCATATGGGTGCTGGTTCTAATCCTGGCAGCCCCACGTCCCATCCAGCTCCCTGCTTGTGGCCTGGGAAAGCAGTCGAGGATGGCCCAAAGCCTTGGGACCCTGCACCCGCATTGGAGACCTGGAAAGAAGTTCCTGGCTCCTGGCTTTGGATTGGTGCAGTACGGGCCATTGCAGCCAATTGGGGAGTGAATCATCTGACAGAAGATCTTCCTCTCTGTCTTTCCTCCTCTCTGTACATCTGCCTTTCCAATAAAATAAATAAATCTTTTTTTAAAATGGGAGCAACTGTACCTGTGTCACAAGGCTATTCAGAGGGGTAGGCATCTGAGGTATCCATCGTACTTCCTAGAACAGAGTCAATATTGAACCAGTGATATTGTTTTGTAGCATTTCTTATTTCCTGCTAATTTTTATTATTTTGCTCCTATATCAGTGTACACACCTTGAAAACAGCCAAGTCTGTCCAAACTGTGGCCTGCAGAGATTCAAGAGTTTGTAGGTCTCCAGACTTGCACTTGTTAGTTATTCTCCAGTGAAATCTGATCACTAGGGGTACAAAATGAGATAAAGTTCTTCAAATGGCACTGCCTTAACAGTTGTTGTGCAGGTGTTCCTTGATTATGTTCTTCTGGCATCACATTCTTAAATTCTAGTGTCCAACTTGTTTAAGAAGTTTGAAGCAAGTGTGATGTGCTTTTTCTCTCTTTTTTTTTTTTCAGGTTAAACTCATCCACAGTAATGGCTGCAGCTTTACCCAGGACCCTGGGGGAGCTACAGCTGTATAGAATATTACAGAAAGCCAATCTTCTTTCCTACTTTGATGCTTTTATCCAGCAAGGTGGTGATGATGTTCAGCAGCTCTGTGAAGCTGGAGAAGAGGAATTTTTGGAAATTATGGCACTTGTGGGCATGGCTAGCAAGCCCCTTCATGTCAGAAGGCTACAGAAGGCTTTGCGAGACTGGGTTACAAACCCTGGCCTTTTCAATCAGCCACTCACTTCCCTTCCTGTCAGCAGCATACCCATCTATAAATTGCCAGAGGGATCACCAACATGGCTGGGAATCTCTTGCAGTAGTTACGAAAGGAATAGCAATTCCCGGGAACCTCATTTAAAAATCCCCAAATGTGCTGCCACCACCTGTGTGCAGAGCTTGGGACAGGGGAAGTCAGATGTGGGGAGCTTAGCACTGCAGAGTGTCAGTGAGTCCAGACTTTGGCAAGGCCACCATGCTACTGAAAGTGAGCACAGTCTGTCCCCAGCGGACCTTGGCTCCCCAGCTTCCCCAAAGGAAAGCAGCGAGGCCCTGGATGCTGCTGCCGCGCTCTCTGTGGCTGAGTGTGTGGAGCGAATGGCCCCCACGCTGCCAAAAAGTGACTTGAACGAGGTAAAAGAGCTGCTGAAAACCAATAAGAAGTTGGCCAAAATGATTGGTCACATCTTTGAGATGAGCGATGATGATCCACACAAAGAGGAGGAGATTCGCAAGTACAGTGCAATATATGGCAGATTTGACTCCAAGAGAAAGGATGGAAAGCATCTCACACTCCATGAGGTAGGAAGCCCATTGATTTTCTCTTTTTTTCTATATGTACATGCTGTTTTGTAGCGGTGAGTTTGGTGATAATTGGCAGCTAAAAAGAATACTGCCTGAAAGCAATATTGGAAGTGTTGTAAGTGTTAGCAAAATGTAACATATAAAAATAGACCATATTTACTATGTTATGGTGGTGTTTGTGTTGAACTCAAATATGTTTATTTTTTGGAACTACACGGCAAGCTGACTTACAGGAAGATGTTAGATTTGGAGCAGTGAAAGCATAAAATCTTTGCATTTAAGACAATTTTTCAATTAATAAATGAACACTCATTTAATAAAACTTTTTTGCAGACTAGTATTTTAGAAAACAATGTTTTATGAGAATAGCCAGAACTTAAACCTATTTTCGGCTAGCACGGGTAACAGAATAATATTAGGTGAATATTAAAGGAATTATACCTTTGAACGTTGTTTTAGTTGATGATTGGTATCAGAAGTTCCCATTGTGAGGCTGGCACTGTGACATAGCAGGTTAAGCTGCCTCCTGAAATGCTAGCATTGCATCTAGGCACTAGCTTGCGTGACATTGTTCCAGACTCTTAGCTATGGCCTGGCCTCACCTAGGCTGTTGTTGCTGTTTGGAGAGTGAAGCAACCACTGGAGAGAAGATCCTCTATCTCTGTCTCTGTGTCTTCTGTAAATCTGCCTTTCAGACAAATAAACCTTTAAAAAGAATTCTCATTCTTACCTAGAAATACTTAAGTATGTGTGCATGTGTGTGTATTTAAACTAATGTGATATGTATGTTAGTATGCAACAGCACTTACGTGTGTGTTTGTTTACAGATATATACATACACACAGATACATACTGTTGCGCTTACTCCTCTTCTCCTGTTGACATTCTGGCCAGTACATCGTCTTTAAGTGTGGCTTATCAGCTAAGTCTCCAGTGAGAATATCCATGTCCCACACTGAAACACCTGGGTTGGATTCCCTGCACTCATTCCAATTCTAGCTTCCTGACAGTGCAGACCTCAACTTGGCAGAACTTCCCAGTCTGTGGGACTCCTGGATGAAGTGCTGGGTTTCAGCTTCTCCCTGAGTCCAGTCCTAGGCACGGCAGGCATTTCAGAAAGGAACTACTGCATAAGAACTCTTTCTCCCAGGAAGAAAAAAAAATTATATATACTGGTCTGTGCCTTACAACAAACTTAGGGTTTGTTCAGGGCAGAGACAGTGTCTCATTCCTTTTTATATCCTTAGAGTCTAATGTACCCAATAAATACTTGAAAAAATAAGTTCATATTTAAAGTTGAAAAGGTTGTTTCGCAGCTCTCTAAATAGTCATATATTCTTTAGAAGAAAGAAAAGCCTCTGAAAAACTGCTTAGGTTGAATTCAGTATTTCATGTTCAACATCAGATCTTCCTCCCCACTGACTTACGCTTTAACATGAAAGATAATATATATTTCTATAAAAGTAATCAGCCATTGCAAAAGGATATTAACTAATTCAATATGCAAGCTGTCAGGTACTTTTCTTTACGTATAAATACAGAATCATGTTTTGCACACTGTTCTGCATTGTTTTTCTTTTTGTAAGTGGAATAGTACACATAGTATAATATGCTAGTAGGTATCTTTTCAACTCAGTTCACATAGAATTATTTTATTGTATGGGTTGCATTGTGTTCTGTAGTTTGTGCAGTTTACATTTGACTTTGTAATGTTATTTAGGTTGTTCCATTTTTTTCCGTATCTTAGGTGTGAACATTATTATTCCTATAAACCATGGTACAAAATTGGGTGTGTTTTTCTCAGAGAGTTCAGAAATTTCTGTTGAAATGTATTTGTATTTATGTGGATTCAGAGTTGCAAGGCTGATTTTTAAGAAAATTTACGAGATTCTTAAAATACTTTCCCTTTTGGTTGTACATAATGAATTGAGTTCTTAAAATGTTTATTTAAGGAGTTAATTTTTAAGTCAACTTAATATTCTATCATGGTATCAGATCTTTTGGAAAATAAGTCTTCCCTAATAATTATAGTTGTAGTCTGTTCAAAATCAGACACATTTGTTCGAATAGTCTAATGCAGTGTATGAAACTTCAGCTTTTGAAGGTTTTGAAAAAAATGTAGTTAAAAACAAAATTTGTAAAGAGGAAATGTTGGAATAGATTCTGCAAAAAACAGTTCAATGTATGAGATAATTTTGAGATTATGTAATTATATTTTGGAGTATTTTTTTCAAAGAACCTGCAATTTTTACTTTAATTGCATAATTGATATAATTCTTCCTAAATGATTGTTGTTTTTTGCCTAGAAATGCTTTCAATTATAAATTAATTTGAAAATCAGATATATTTACATATGTCACTTCCTCTGTATATTCAGTTTTTTAGGCTTTTATATTGTTCAGTAATTAGCATAGTTTTTATTATTATTTGAGAGAGAGAGAGGAAAGAGAGCTCCCATCTGCGCATTCTTCTCCAAATCCTGATAGCTGGGAACCTTGGCCAAGTCTCCCATGTGGACAGCAGGGATCACATCACTTACACCATGGCCTGTTGCCTCCCAGGGCCTGCATTAGCAGGAAGCTGGAATCAAGAGCTGGAGCTGGGAATCTAATATACACACACAACTGAGGGACCTGCTCATCTTTACTGTTGGCTTCTCAGCTGCTGTGCTAAGTACTTACCCCACAGTTTTCATATGGGTTTTGCACATTTTTTGTTAGGCCAGATACTGTGTATGTTAAATATTCCATAGCATATATTCTAAATATCTCATTTAAATAGGATACATGAAAATACAGAGATAATTGTAAATGAATTTTTCTCTTTCAAAGGCTATCATTGGCTAGCTTTTGTATGCTAGTTTTGTTTTCACCAATTCTGCCATCTGATTTTTTTTTAAAGATTGATTTATTTGATTTGAAAGAGTTACTGAGAGACAGGGACAGAGAGGGAGAGATTTTCCATCCACCTGTTGTTCCCCACATTGTTGTAACGACCAGACCTGGGCTGATCTGAAGCCAGGAGCTTCTTTCAGGTCTCCTACGTGGGCACAATTACCCAAGCACTCTGGCTGTCTTCTGTCATAAGCAGAAAGCTAGATCAAATGGAACAACTAGGACTTGAACCAGTACATATGGGATGCTGCCGCTGCAGGTGGAGAATCAAGTTGTTAGACCACTATGCACTGTGCTGCCTACATCTCCCCCCACCCACACATACACACACCATTTGATCTTTTTAAAGGAATGCTTTTAAATGTGAATACTGGAGTTTCAGCTCAGGTAATGGATTATCAGAATGAATAGGGTTACAGTAGATCTCTGACTTGATGTGTTTTTAGATCTATCATATAGCCATTGTGTTATTTTTGTCATTTAATAACTGCCTCACAGGAGCTTATGTGTAGATCTAGAGGGCCTGGCATGACGGCTTAGTGGCTAAATCCTCACCTTGCATGCTCCAGGATCTCATATGGGCACCAATTTGTGTACCGGCTGTTTCTCTTCCCAGCCAGCCCCCTGCTTGTGGCCTGAGAGCACCGTAGAGGATGACCCAATGCCTTGGGAATCTGCACCCACATGGTAGATCCACAAGAAACTCCTGGTTCCTAGCTATGGATTGGCTCAGCTCATGCCACTTGGAGAGTGAACCAGTGGATTGAAGATCTTTGTCTCTCCCCTCTATAAATCTGATCTGCCGTTCCAATAAAAATAATGAAATTAAGAAATAAATTGTAAAGAAAGAATGAATTAGATCTAGAAACCATATTTAGTATCATTCTCCACATATATTTTTGAAGATTTTATGTTGTCTTTGACCAACAGAGGAATCCATTTAAAAGGCTAGATGGACTTCATTAATCAAAAACAAAATATAAAACATGTTTACAATTTTAGCTTTCCTATAATCTCTAAATATAGCAATGAAAATGAAGGTTGAGTCAGAAGATCTGTATTTTTGTCTAACTAGAAGTATTTTTAAGATTGGTTAATAAGTCAGTCAGCCTCTCATAATTTTAAATCTTATGCTACTTTATTTAAAAAGGTCAGAATTATTTTGCACTAGGCTTTTGCTAAGAAGCCCTTTGCTTCTTTGGTTAATAAGTTATTTAAGTAATGAAACCATTGTAGATTTCCCAAAATAAAGGAGCACTCAAAATGAATGCTAGTGGGCTGAAGTAAGGGGGTTGGGGTTTTGGAAAACATGGCTGTGTTTTTGAAATTTAACCTAGACCAGTTGGCACGTATAACTCAGATATGTGAATCTGGTCCAATAATGGGTACAGTTCAGAGTTGATTCAAACTAGTAATCATTCAAGACCATGCAGGAAATTGCAAAACTCAAAGGAAATGAAAGAAAGTATTATTGAGTATACCTTTTAAGTATTAAGAAAATTTTGCATTGTTCAAATTTCACATTAAAATCAAGAAAATTCTTTGGCTTTTCTAAGTTCCTAAGGCTAAAAACTGTTAAGAGTTTGTCTTAAATTTCCAAATAAGGGGATATAGAACTTACTATAACTTCACTGTTAGCTTCAGCTTACTGTTCTGAAATTTTCTTGTAAACCCTATAGATACTGCAGGCCTGTCATCACTAATGATGAAAAGGATGCTGGACATTACTTACGCTTGAGAAAGTTTTTCAACTCTTTGAAATACCCAAGATTCTTTTCATTTGAACATTTTTATATTTGCTTTCAAGTGTACTCCATACAATAAGGAAGACTATTATCAGGCATTTATTTTAAGCTTAAGAAGCAGTAACAGTCCAAGCACTTGGCTAGATACTGTCTGGATTACAGGAATCTGACCTTTAAGATAATGTTGGTATCCTGCACCCACACAGGAGACCCGAAAGAAGCTCCTGACTTCAAATTGACTCATCTCGGGTCATTACATACATTTGGGGAATGAACCAGTGGATGGAAGATCGTTCTCTCTGTGTCTCCTTCTCTCTATAAAACTGCCTTTCAAATAAAAATAAAGTTTGCTTTTAAG